ACCGGCAGTCCCTGGACGGGAGGGTGATCGCGCCGCCCTCGGCTCGCTGTCAGTCTGTCAGGATGTCTGTGTGTCTGACCTCCTGGGCTGTGAGATGGGCCCGCGGAGCACGGTACATACCTACCTGAGCAGCGCGGCCTCCGATGTCTCGGTGGATGCTGCTTCAGGGCTGCGCTTCACGCGGTTCTCGATGGAGATGAGAACTCTCGATGGGGAAGAACTCTCGATGGGTTCTCATTCATCTCGATGGAGATGAATGAGATGAGAAGTCTCGATGGGGAAGATGAATTAGATGAAAACTCGATGGAGAAGATGAGTGGGATGACAATTCTCGATGGAGAGGGTGGATGAGATGAGAAGGTCGACTTCAGCAGCTATGCCGTGCTATTAGCCCGTCTGAAGGGTTTGTTTGCGTTCTGCTTTATTTATGTGATAAGCTTAGGACTTTGCAATTGCGTAAATGTTAAAGGGGTGCTAAACTAAAGATATGTTGCACCATAACTTTCTCACTGAACTAACTTACAACTATGTCCGAAGCTACTACTATATGTTAAGTGGAAGATCACCGATCGATGTCGGCATTCTTCATTGCGCTTTACCATAAAGCTGACAGATACGCGCAAGTTTGGAACTCTGACCAGTCGCCACACCCAAAGACACCCTCGCGACCAGCAGGGGACCAGCCCTTAGTACCTGCTCCGCTGGCGGGAGGTAGTGCATCCGCTCCACACGGTAACATGAAACGTCCTGGTGCACCACATCTGAACTTTGGGGCAGCGTGGCCGGCGGCACGGCGCGGCACTTACATAACCCCGCCAGCCGGCGATGGCCGGGGGCGGCGCCGGGAGGAGTTCTGCACTTCTGCACAGGCACAAGTCCCGCGCCCGCCGAACTGGGGCATTTCCTATGCTAACCACTCGGCAGGACCGCCGAGCGGCAATGGATGGACCGGCCCGGCCGGGCTGTAGTTGGTGACTCAGGTGAAGACATAAATGAATGACGATACGATTCTCCGACTGAACGACCGTTTCGGTAGAATAGCCCACACTGTTCCACGAAAGGCTTGCAACACCAAATATATACACTAGCCTTCCGGTACATGGGCCATATCGAGCGTTCATTCATAATTAGCGAAAAGGCGCTGAACAAGAAAGGTGAAATATAAATCAGGCCGTGGCTGTAGAATCTGGTGCAGGGTGACCGGACCGGGTCCGGCACCCACCGGGTAGGGCTCTGCCCTTCATGTCCGTTTGTTTTGTGTCTGCCCTATGATGGATCACCGGGAAGCGGTCGTCCTGCAGACAAACCGCTGCATCTCAATGGGTCCGTCTCAGGACGGCACACGGACATCCTGAAGACTCGATGACTATCGTGACCTTCCACAGACGGGGGCTGACGTTAACGTGCCCCTCTTTGATGATATGCACATTGTTAATGGCCTCCGATAGCATGTTATTAAGAAAATGTCGACGAAACGTTCTTTGTATCGATTATTGATCGTATTCTCCCCGTCTCATTTTAAGTGTTCGGTGATAATAAACTTTTTGCAATGCAAATGGAGGATAGTAGCTTTGTTATTCGGATTATATAAGCTCCGATTTTTTTCCAGATATTTTGCAGTTCGTAGTCATATCTCCGTCGTTTGTGAACAAACGTTAAATGAGCCCCGGACTTCATGATAGCCAACTCGTATGTATAATAAAATAACAGGAAAGCTTTTTCTCTTTTACACTGTTTCGCTTTCACTGAACTTCCCCGTTATTAATTCAAGATTCACAATAAGTGTCCGTAAGTCTGGCTAGTGCTACAGCCATCGTGCGTTCCCCTTTCACCGCTATCCAGTAAAAACCCAAGGATATGTGGGGTCCATTATAGAAATCAGTGGATGACAGCAGGCTCGCTGTCATCTAAGGAAGGACAGAGGTTACAGCGGCGAGATTCGAGAGCGATTGGAAATGTTTGACACAAAATGGCGGCATTGAGGGAGTACAAACTCCCAACTTGATTAATGCATTTAAAAGATTACGCGTCATCGAAACGTGCAAAAATTAGAAGCAAATGAAGGAAACGGTTTGCCTATCAATCTTGTTTGCTTATGTACATTAAGTTGAAAGAGAATGAATTGAGGGAAAAGCGTTAACAGAATACATCAAGAACAATACAGAAAAAGCAATCGATTGCCGAATGAGATCGAGTTAACATTTTAGACGTTGAACAAGCAAGAAAACGAATTCGATTCAAAATAGGCTTACTAAGTGGTCAAATAAGTTCTCTTCCCACTTTCAAAACATGAAACAGATTATTTGTAGTGCCGCACTCTGGTCGTGACTGAATCGCCTTTTCATTTGCCCTTTTGCACAGAACAAACCCTGATCGTGCCCTGTATGCCATGCAGTCATATGGTGATGCGATGGGGGCTGTTCTGATTTCTGTATGCTCTCCACATGGTCAGTGCATCATTAGAGAATATCGCCCCTTTCCGATCACTGCAGCCTGCGTCAGTCGTACTGACCGCTGAGCCAGTTCGTCCTCGCTCACGCTCAGCGGCTGCTCGGAAATATATCCTGGGGAAGGCGAGGGGACTTCCAAAATCACGCACGAGTCAATTTCACATGGACCGACAGTCAACATATCCAAGAAAATGCAGTGAGAAATAAGTTCGGAGTAAGTACACGCGAACAGTTCTGAAATTTCTCGTCAAATCAGCGTTCTGTTACCCTGAAGCCAAAGGCGATCTAAAGGCTCGATTTCTGGCTATAATACTAAGGGGAACATTTTGAACTTCGCTAGAATGAAAGCCACTGTCATCAGAATGACGAATCACCTGCAGAGGGCGACATGAAACCGTTTAGTGCAGCGCCTTTCGTCTAAGAACAGCAGGATTTCATGTGCTGAATAAGTCGTGAAACGCGCCTCTTTGTCGCCCGGAAAAGCCGAGTCGATGTGCGAACGTTCCGCGATCCGCCACTGTTCCCGTCGGACATGACTGGACCAATGACAAGTGGGAATTTCTTTTACATATTTGATTTGAGCATAAAAAGAACATTAAAAATTTTTCAATTATTCATTGCTACGTTGATTTATCAGTAAAATAAACAATTTTGGAGAACCATATCATAAGCAATTGGGGAAAAAACGCCATGAGACTATGAGTAACAAAGATGCAAGGATATAACATCAAATGACGGCCCACAATGTTTCAGTCTCGATTTGAAACAGCAAACCTCACCTAAAGTGAATCTTCCGAGCAGTTTATGATATTTCCCTGCGGGGAATCGTCTCGTACATAGCTTAAAATTTAAGGGGAGACTAAAAATATATGCAGGAATGTGCCAAACTTAGAAAAATTATGCTCCGGTCGCTGCCCTCCTCCGGATCTTCTTCAAATGACGAAAATAAAATAATTGTTCTTTTTACACGAAGAGATTTAATTTCTAACTGATTCGCTTCGAAGGCGATGTTTTTTTATAACGAAGGATAGCTATTCTATTGTTAAAACTTAAATAGTTTGACAGGCCGCAATATTCGTAGTTGATTAACTACCTATATTTTGATTATTAAAGGCTTTCTAATCGCTTTAAGTGCTTTAAGCAAAAGCGCACGTGAAACCTTAATGAGTTTGTTTGATATACAGGATACCTATACAACGTCGGCTAGTTGAAAAAAATTGACTTTCTATTTATTTCTATTGCTTCTCTCGTGCAGCATTTAGCTATGCACTTAGAGCGAACCAACAGGCTTAAACAATGAGGGCATAAGTTTTAGGTATTTCTGGTGTGATTAAATAGGAAATGAAAACCTATCGTGTTTGACATATTTGGTCTCGATAAGAGGGGAATTGTGCATGTTTTATTATAGAATTTGGACATTCCATTAGAATATTAAGGATATGAGATAGAAGCAGATTATCGCATCTATGTTCTCACATAAATAACTGAATTTTCTGCTCCGGAAGAGACATGGATACAATGAGGCGTATGTACGTTAGATGTTTGAATATTAGAGGGACTGTTCCTCCTCGGGGAAAGACCTGATTGAGAGCCAAACTAACCTGTGTGCCAAAATGTTCACAATGCTGCAATTGTCACGTGTTCCCAATTTGCGTTGATCAATATTTGAAAGCCAGTCTCGATTATGAAAGGTTTGCAATTTTTCGGCCAACTTTGAATTACATTATGCAGTATACTTAGGCATTGGAAATTCGAGCCATCAGACAAATCTTTGAATTACGAAACCTTTGAATTGTCATTTTCATGCATCGTCATTTTCATAATAAATATCACCATGATCCCACGAATCTGTGCGTTTTATGAGCTATACGTTTTATGAGCCGAACTATGAGTTCATGAGGTATTATCGTTTTTACAGGCGCTAGGAATGCGAGGCGAAGAACATGCAAATTGAAGTTAGTTTGCCAGTCAAACCGAGTCGTTGTGGGAGCAGATTATTTTGCAGTATTTCTGATTGATCGGTTGTCTGTTTTAAGCCTAAAGTGGAAACTATCAGCATGAAGAGTACAAAACCGCTACAAAATTAAGGTACTTAAATTTATCTCAGTAACTTTAGATGATAACTGCTACTTTGATGCCTTTTTGACAATAGTTAAAAACTGAACCATCATTATGCCAGCGTTAAGTCTCATGAGTGACTTGATGGATATTTTAGCATACAAATGCGGTAAAATTGAAGTGTGTAAAATACACATACAGTAAATGATCGGCACGATCATAACCACTTGGGCTCATACATGTTCTTTTTGCCAAATGAGACGCCCAGTAAAGCACGGGCTAATCTACAAAATTGCGGAACAGTCCCTCTAAACTGCCATGTCGTAAACTGACCATGGTATTGGTGGGAAGTGAGAACAGAGTGAGACACGAGGGAAGGGAGGGAGGTGAGAACAGCGTGACACGTGTGGGGGGGGGGGTGATAACAGGGTGGTGAGAGGTGGAAATTATATAATGCCGTGTGGGGGTGCCGCGTGCGCGTCGTTATCTCACCTGCCAGCGCCTCCGGCGGAGGAGTCGGGGGTGGCAGCCAGTAGGGCAGCATCGGCTGCAGGTAGGCAGGCGGCTGCAGCAGGGGCGTGCGCGCCGCCGCCGTTCGGGCTGCGTCCATGGCCAGCGGCCGTCGCTGGCGCTCCTGAGGGGTCGACGGGGCACCGGTCACTGGTCGGTCACGGCGGTGCACCGTCGCGTACGGCGCGCGGCCGCGGCCCGAGCGAGCGAGCGAGCGCCGACCGGCTGCCGTCGGGGCGGCGCGCGCGGCGGCCGGCCGCTCGATACCGGGCCACCGGCCGCCGCCGGCCGGCTCACCTGGGCCCGAGCGATGGCCGAGAGCTGCAACTCAGCCATCGATCCCGACAGATGGACGGCGCGGCGCCGGCGGCCGCACCGGCTGACCGGTCAGCGCCCGGCGCCTCTCCGGCCAACACTCAGCTCACAGCCTCAATTACAATCTATATGGGCCAATCAACACGGTTCAGTGCTCCACACTGATTTAGAAGAGAGTCTACGTCAGCAATTAGCAATCAGGGCATTCAGCACTTGGTTGAACTAGCTGTTGGTGTTCCATTCCGACAGTTTATCCGGCGTTTGGCCGGATCAGCACTCGGTCTGGCACGGTTGGCCATCTGCCTTTCAAACGTTAGGTACATCCGGCATGTCCAGGACTTAACATCCGGCACGTCCGTGCGATCCTCTATAACTAACTTGAAACGTAACTAAGTTCCTTTACTTTGCCTCCTACTATTATAAATCATTTCAAACAGCGACATGAATTGCCACGAAATATCTAGCCATTAATTTTGCAAATTTAATATCATTAGCGCATTCCAAAACATTTTCGTCCTGACAAAATAAAATTGGTTCTGGCAACAAAGCATACTTTCTTCCAATGCCCACTAACTTCTGAGAAGTAAGTCGGCTGCATAATTATTTAATATTAATTATCAAGCGAATATCGCGATATGACTGAGCCCGAACCAAAGCAGAATCGTCTATTAGAACGATAATGGGTAATGGAATCTTCAGACTCCATCTCTGTATCACCGTTGCCCATTACGTTTCCTCACACTCACCGCTGAAAATAGTCATAATGAGGCTATCAAATGTCGTGGAAAGTGACACCAAGCGCACTAATATAGAGCATTTCGCTAATTTAGTTGATTTTCAAACATTTTTTTAACTAGTAGCTTCAGAAAAGATGCTTTTTAAACGGCCTCCTTGCAATAAAATACCAACTGATGGGTGAATGAAGTACTTGTTGACGACTTAGACCAAAGGTCGTTATCTAAATATGCCAGATAGAGCTTAAGCCAGGTGTTTAAGTTATAGTGGAACTGTAGTCGAAATCATCAATAATTATTTCATTCACCCAGCATTTGGTATTTGATTGTTAGGAGGCCATTTAAAAAGCATCTTTTCTCTAACATTATTTGACTTTTTCCTAAAAAGAGAACAATTCAATACAAGGACTACCTACGTTTGAGAGGCAAAGTACATATGTACTTAACCCGCGCCCTGGTGGGGTCTGTTTATAACGCGACCTGGTGGGGGGGGGGGGGTATTTTTTGCCCCCCCCCCCCTCGTATCTCCGAAACTACTGGACGGATCCGCAAAATTTAAACGGCATTCGAAAGGCCTGTCAAATTTGTCAAGGGAAATTTTTCAATTGACCAAATTTCATTGACCTCGGGGTCACCGATGACGTCACAGGTCAGGTCAAAGATGAAATGTTTCACCGTTCACGGGTCATCTAGGGAATGCGCTATAACACCGAAGAAAACGCATTTTGTCGAGAATCAGCGATAGGGCGTCAGTTGCCTAGTACATATGTTGCTATAAGAGGTCACTGACATTACCAGGTCAGGTCACAGGTCAGGTCACCAAGGGTCACAGGTCAGGTCACATGAACCTAACTTTAGGTACCTACTAAGGTTGTGTGATGCATGTTTTATGGCCACTTTTTCATTTCCAACTCAATGGTGTTGGTTATAAGACTATCAGGTACGGCTTAGGTCACTTTCTGGTGAAGGTCAGGTCAAGGTCAGGTCAAAAAAGGTCAAATTTTAAAGTTGATAGTTTTGCATAAAATGGGTATTGATTCGATGCAGCTCGTCACGGGGAGTCTAATGGTGGTCTTTGTTTTGCGCTACGGGGTCTAGAATTGCTAAAAATTGAGTTTGAAAATTTGACGTCATCAATTTTGAACAGTTTTTTCGCTATAACTTCGCCAAAAAAGAGGTATCAATCTCAAATTTGGTATGTAGATAGAAGGCGGTAAGGACTATCACATATGTTCCGGTTTTTGCGAAATTAAAAAAAAACTTGTTGGATTTTTCGGCTATTATATTCAAAAAATCTATTTTTTGATTTTTGGGGGTCAAAATCTAAAAATTTTAAAAATCCGAGATATCAGTTTTGTACCCCTGTCAGTTCTACAGCTTTTATGTCTTTGTCGTTTTTCTGTATTTGCAAAGCTATGGGCCTGACAGCTCTTCCCGCGAAACCCTTTTTTGGGTCGAAAACGGCAGAACATGACGTCACTCTGACGTCATTTCCCGCCAACCTATCATAGCCTTTGGAAAAATTTTTGGTCACAATGTGTAAAATTGATGTCCGGGAGGGTACTGAAAGTTTGGTGACGATCGGCGCAGCGGTTCTAGAGATATATCGAAAAGTCTGGAGGGGGGGGGGGCAAAAAATAGCCCCCCCACCAGGGCGCGGGTTAAGCTTAACACTGCTCCTTTGATTCAGTTTAGTTATGGGTTGGATATATGACTAGGAGACCAGTTATTTCCAAAGGTCGCTTTGCAGGGAAACCCTGTGAAGATCATACGGAAAAGACAGCATGGCAAAGCCGATCTCACCATACCAACTTTCCAGCAGCCACACAAACATTTTTTTGTAATTTGCACTGCCATATCACACAAAAGCTACATCACATTGTTCACGGTAACAATAAATTATAAAACAAACATTCACTGATGTCCTTAAATCAATTTAGGCGCCATACTCCTGTGAAGATAAGTACATACCTGTATGCATCGCCTCCGCAAGATTTGTAACGTCTGAACATTCTTACAACTTACACATTGCTGAATATTTAAACTCTTTACAGATAAGCCTATATCTCCTTTTGCATGCATATATGCTTTATTTCATTATTCGATTTCTATTGAATTATCCCTTCACCAAGAAGACACGGCTGTTCTTCCGAGTCCGCTCAGAGGCGGACGTTTGTTACCTTCGAAAATAAAGACGTCTCCGGTGTAACTAGGCGACGTGACCAGTGGCGCCGGTACCTGCAAGTTTGAACTCCAGCGGGCCGCGTCTCGGAGCATCCGTCAGTAACCATACCATGCAGGTATCCATGTGGGCGCCGACCATGCCGTCAGTGGGCGCGCAAACCGTCCTCCTCGCTCCGCCGGCTGTGCGGCCGGTGCTACGTCTCCCGGTGAAATATCACGATCCGGGCGCCACGGCCGGTTATATATTCGGCCAATACCGACTGTGGATCCCCGAACCTTCCATTCGAACCGGTGAATCATGGGTTTTTCCACGAACCCCCTTATTTGGTATATGGGAATGCTCTGGAGCCAGCGGTCATGACCTCACAGACACTTATCCCCAAAACGCGCGGCCTATCACCGCCCGGCCCGGGCCAGTGTGACGTCATCCGTAGCGTCACAGCGGAAAGGCCAATGCGATTGTTTTGGTGGGAGACACGCGCGTGTCATGTGGCCCAGCCCACTGCGCAGTTACTGCGCTGCAGGGCCGGCAGCTGCGTGCCGGAAAAGTTCCGCTAGCCTCGGCAGACCGATGCGGCGCGGCGATTAACAAATAAACCGGTCCGATTACGACTGCGGATGCCCATTTTTACTCCTTCTCTCCCTTGTTTGTCTTTCTGAATGGTTGAGTCAGGCGTGGAAAGTGCGAAGACGCGGACACGGAGTGGCTCGGGTGGCTTCGCTGAGCTGCAAGGACATCCCTCCGGGACTTCAGTGTTTTCCCATCATGACTTCATAGTTAAGCCCACCGGTGTGGCGGCTCTCTCTATAATCCTGCATTACGGAAAAAAGAACAGCAAACTATCTGAGGCTGGTGATTTTGGAACACAAATTTTAGACGTATAGTAATAGGCAAAAACTACGTCATGCCCGTGTGCCGTAATGTTACGTTTTATCTTTTTCCATGCATCTTAATGCATGGATCAATTTCTCTTTGATTGACACCTCAATTCTGACACGCTTCTTTCGATAGGGAACCACTCTCATTGTTTTTGGGCTCGCGGTCACTGGCAGTGGACTTCTCGCAAATCATCTACATCCTCGTTGATCAATCCCTGGAAGGCCAAGCGCCTCGCTGCAACTGGTTGTCCATGAGGTCCCCATGAAACCCACGCGCTGGATTTGAAAACGAAAACAACCCGCTGCAAAGGTGTCGGCGTCGAGCCCACTGAGGCATCACCGATCGAAATTTGGCGCAGCTAACACGACGTCTAACGCCACCAGCACCATCCATTTATCGTCTATTATATAAACTAAGTAAGTACCGGGAGCCAGATGAGTGTTCAGAGTCGCGGATTCTTCAATCGATCGGGGTCAAAAATAGCGCGGCACAATCTCGCAGCAGACTGAAGCGCTCAATGCGTCGGGTCTGAGTCGCCATCAGATTCACGCCTGGCCGACACTTATTGACCAAATGCTGGTGATTTACGTAACCGATGGTGTTCGGAGCCAGTGTCAAGGTCGGTGTCCTGGTCAGTCTCCTGGTGCAGGTCAGCTCCGGAACGGAACGCTCATATGCATTTATTACTTGGTGGGTGCAAGTCGAACGGAATGGACAGAGGAGCAGGCAATCGGCAAGGACACCTGCAAGCCGAGACCTGACCAGCCGGTCCTGCCGGAGTTGCAAAATACCGGGTTTAACGTATTCCTCCTTGCGTGTGTCGTAGCGAATGAGTGGCTGTGCAATAATGAAGAGTGTATGATATTGTACGTGTGGATGGAATCGCCGGGAAATGCGAGACGGGACAGGTTCACGTAATACGTCAATGTGCTAGGCAACTCATTGAATACATTCATCGTGTTGATCGTGCTCCTCAAAATCATTACACCATACTTATATTCTCATACGCCG